GTATGGGAATGTTATCTTATATTTACATTCACTCATTCAATCTAATATGTCAGTAAAAGAAATAAAAATCTAGCTGTATAGATCCAACGTAGCACAAGACGAAGATGGAAATTAATCAGATGGAAATGGTCGTAACCGTACATTTATCTGGGAGGTGTTCTGTTAGCAACCAATGCTTAAAGAAAACCTCAAATTCAGACCGAAACACAAACATTGACAGAAAAAGTGCTAGTGTGAGAGGGCCTTAAATTAACCACACCATTTTTGTCTTTGCTAATCTTTTAAGTTTCTGTCACCTCTCTCCCTGCCTCTTTCCCAATCCCCTTCTGTTTTCTTTTCTTTCTCTCTCCTTTCCACTCACTTCTCACTTTTCCCTTCACTTTTCTTTTCCTGTCTCTTCTTCTCCTTTTCCTCTGTTTCTCTTTCTTTCTCTGTGTATTTGCCCATGTATATTGACACCACTTTATATAAACAAATTGTTCAGTGTAAAGATAGATGACCGTAATATTACCAAATTAGTAACAATGAGGATTTTGTCGCATAAGGTTTGATCTGTACTTCTTGTTTTGTCGATATTTCCTCTAATTGATATATGTTTGAAATTTAAGACATTCTGAAACTTTGCTTCTTCATTGCCTTTATTCCGTAGCAGTTTTTCCGTCTTCCATTTACAACAGATTCGGGAGAATGAGTGGCCTCCAGGAACTCCGCGCCGCTGGACTTGTCATTTACCGCTGTGTTGCTACAGAGATACAGTACCTCTTGATGCAGGCTTCCTATGCGGATCATCACTGGACTCCCCCAAAAGGTGTGACGAGGATGAAAGTGTTAGATTTTTATCCGTTTTCGGTGGTACGGTATGAAGTTGGTTTGATATGAATGCTACCTATGAATGACGCAGTAGATGAAGGTGAATTCTGTTGATTGTGTGTGTGTGTGTTGTGTTGTGTGTGTGCGTGTGCGTGTGCGTGCGTGTGCGTGTGTGTGTGTGTGTGTGTGTGTGTGTGTGTGTGTGTGTGTGTGTGTGTGTGTGTGTGTTGTGTGTGTGTGTGTGTGTGTGTGTGTGTGTGTGTGTGTGTGTGTGTATGTGTGTATGTGTGTATGTGTGTGTGTGGTGTGTGGTGTGTGGTGTGTGTGTGTGTGTGTGTGTGTGTGTGTGTGTGTGTGTGTGTGTGTGTGTTGTGTGTGTGTGTGTGTGTGTGTGTGTGTGTGTGTGTGTGTGTGTGTGTGGTGTGTGTGTGTGTGTGTGTGTGTGTGTGTGTGTGTGTGTGTGTGTTTGTGTGTGTGTGTGTGTGTGTGTGTGTGTGTGTGTGTGTGTGTGTGTGTGTGTGTGTGTGTGTGTGTGTGTGTGTCTGTGTGTATGAGTGTTAGTGTGTATCAATGAATGTATGTATATTTATGGAAATGCCTACATGTATATGCCTACTGTACAAGTACATACATGTGATATCTTTTTGTTTGTTTTTTGTTCTTTTTTTTAAATATTTCTTTTTCTTCAGGCCACGTTGATCCAGGAGAATCTGATTTGGAAACGGCTCTGAGGGAAACGCAGGAGGAGGCTGGCTTGTCTCGGAATGATTTTACGCTAATTGATTCCTTTAAGAAAGAGCTGAAGGTGAATTGAGAATTAATATCTCTGTTTTTGTGTGAAATGAAGTTTAAGGTATTTTTGTTTCATTGGCCAAAACTTTTATTTTTTGTTTTATATGTGGATTATTCATGAGGCATGTCTTACTCTTGAATCCTCTAAATTTATAGATTATGCATCATGACATAAAAAGGAAAATTTAGTATCTACATGAATGATTAAGCTTTACAAGATTATATATATCATATTATTATATATCTGTGCTTCCTCCCATATTTACATTTTGTCATCAATCTACCTATGAGTTTCTTACATATGCCCTCAATTTTCCTCTTATTATTTTCTATGTATTTTATCAGTCTATCTTTCGATTTTCCACCCAGGCCCCATAGTTTTGCATCCCAGTTTTTCCATGATTTTCGCCCATATACCTCCCTGTTTTTTATATGTACTCACGGTTTACCTTCCAAATTTTCCACTTGTTTCATCAACTTACCTAACGTATTTCCAAACACGTTGCTGGTCTACTATACAAAATCCGACAAAGTTCATCCATCTATCCCCCAGTTTTCCTTATACTCTATAACGCTTCCCGTCCCTGCACTCTAGTATGAAGTTCGAGGGAAGCCCAAGACCGTCATTTACTGGTTAGCCGAGCTGAATAACGGCAGCAAGGAGGTTACCCTGTCGGAAGAGCATCAAGAGTACCGTTGGTTGCCCTTGGCCGAAGCATCCAGTTTGGCGAAGTTCCCCGAGATGATATCTACCCTCGAAGAGAGCGAAGAGTTTATCAAGAAATACAAGCAAAAATGAGGGAAGCTGTATGTTCATAATAAAGTAAGCATGTTGATATTAATGTGAGAGTAAGTTCAAAATAAGTATATATATATAATTGCCTAGATTTTTTAGTTCCAAGGTATGAGGTAGCTGGTTTTTCTTTTTTATTTTAATTCTTTATATATTATATTATATATATATATATATTTATATATATATCTGCCAGGAACTACTTGTAAAATAAGCATAAACTCATATTCATTTTATCATTCCGTGGTTGTTACTGTGATAATTCAATGCCAAAAAAAAAAAAATGCACATAAAACTTACTCAATACATAGTAAATTTGTCTACTAGTAGGCAATGATGTTCAGTTTTTGGCGATGATGTTATTTTTTTGCGAAGATGTTTATTTCATTTTTTGGTTGTTTATTTTTGTTTATTTTTTTTATGTTTTTTTTTGGCGATTATTTTTGGCAATGATTCGATGATTTTATTTTGGCAATGTTTATTTTTTTGATGATGTTTATTTTTGGCAATGTTTATTTTTTTGGTGATGTTTATTTTTTTGGCAATGATGTTTATTTTTTGCGATGATGTTCATATTATGTTTATTTTTGGCGATGATGTTTGACATCATTATGTTCATTTTTGACGATGATGTTTAAAATTTTATTTTTGATATGTTATTTTTTGGCAATGTTTATTTTTTGGCGATGATGTTTGATTTTAGTACAGACTTAAAGATTTTATCACGAATTCTTCAGCAAGGCAATACATGAAAGACAAATTCCTCGTTTTTCCTTTTTGTCGTTTAGACCCACTTTTATTGACTTTTATCTATGGTCCCGTTTCCTGCATTTGATTCTATGTATGATTTTGTACGTCACTTGAGTTGCAGTTTCAATTTCTTTCTCAGACAGGGATTGCTGAGAAAAGAAAAAAAAGAAGAAAAAGAAAGATGGATTGAAAGAAAAAAGAAAGAATGAATGGTTGATAGAAAGAAAAAAAAGGTTGAAAGAAAGAAAGAAAAAAAAGAATTGAAAGAGGAAAGAAAGGAAGAATGATATAAAGAAGAAAGAAAGAGGGAAAGAAGCATTGAAAGAAGTAAGAAAAAGAAAAAGAAAGAAGGATGGATTGAAAGACAAAAGAAAGAAGGATTAAAACAAGAAAGAAAGGGACTGAATGAAGAAAGAAAGAAAGAAAAGGATAGATATAAAGATTTAATAAGAATTGAAGTAATTGTTTACTAGGATGATTCAGCAAATTTTCCTCCTTCGAAACTGTTCCGATAAATTGCATATTACTTTTATTATATGCATGTACTTACTAAAAAAAATTGTGTTTTGTATTTTATACTTTTTCTTTTAAGCATCTTTTTTTGTTGTTGATAATGTGTTTATATAGAGAAAGACTATTATATTCATGCACTATATATTTACAAGTTATTTACATTGTTTCATCTCTGTCAAGGAGACAGACATACAGACACCAGACAGAAAGACAGACAGACAGACAGACAGACAGACAGGACAGACAGACAGACAGACAGACAGACAGACAGACAAAGACAGACAGGCAAACAGACAACAGACAGACAGACAAACAGAAAGAGACAGACAGACAACAGACATTCAGACATACAGACAGACAAACAGACAGAGACAGACAGACAGACAGAGACAAAGAGTAAGTGAGGGAGTATGATTATAGCTCATTTGGTGCATTTTTTCTCTAACGATATAAGTCTAAAGATGAAATTATATAGAGAGGCATTAGTGGGTATGTTTTTTTCCAAACTCCTTTTTTACTTTTAATAACATTGACATTGCTTAAAAAATAATAATAATAATAAAAAAAAAAAAAATAAAAAAAAAAAATAGATAATAAATAAATGCTAAAGCTTATATATCGGTTACGTCTCTTGCTTTGTAAGGTTATTCAGTCTAATTAATATCCTTTATCCATTTATCCCAACAAATTCTGCATGTTGGTAGTGATGATTGATGGTAATAAGGGGGACAGATGATAATGATATTAAAGGAACTGAGTGTATTGATAAACAGGAAGACGAATTACATAATTATTGTTAAATCCTAAATGTATTTTGCTAATATATCTGCCTTATCAACAGAAGAAATATCCAATGTCTACTCCGCAGTCTCTTGTGAAAAGTGGATTTTTTCATCACTTTATCGCCATTAGTGTTTTGCTGTTCATGTCTTATGAGTAAATGAAGTAAATCGTCTTATTTCCATCAATGGTGATGTTAGAGGTTGGCATTAGGGGCTTCGGTTCTGAGTGTTTTGTGAATAGCCCTGTATCAAGATCTGTCGGTATATTTTGGTTTTACACACCATTAAAAAAACACGAGTCTTGAGTATTTCAAACCAATTGTAGTTAACTTCAAGGTCCACACTTTATTTCAGACACAGACAATCCTCTTCTAAACAACGACTCGTAAACATCAATACAAAGTCACAACTGTACACATCTTAACATACTTAAGCACAACTATCAAGCGCCCTCACTCACTCAATCACACAACATAGACAACGAGCACTACACACAACACACAACCACAAACAAAGAAGTGATTCTCTACATGCCTACTCTACTCCTTAAGGAAAAATAGTAAATCCTTGATGCACTCTCATCTCTAAAATTAAATTTGGAAGTGAATAGTAACTTTCCTTATCTGTGTGTGAACACTCTTCACCTGGTTAAATAAGACACTTAACGAATGCATATATATGCATATCAGCAACAGTAACTTCTATGAACATCAGTACACTCGACACACATGGCTCATGAGATTAAAGTTGCTAATCTACTTTGAAACTCTATCATCCAGTTACCTACTCTTTAAACCTCAGACAGGAAAGCCTTTAGAATTTTCACTTATACATCTTATCTTAGGCTATCTACAAGTTGTTTATAGGTACTCAATTCCAGACTATCTGCATATACTCTCAAATCTCTCTCTTGGTTGCTCTCTCTCATCATCATTTACTATGCAAATGGTTTTCTTTGCTCTCTCTTCTTCTCTCCTTTTTCTCTCTTCTCTCTCATGTCTGATTAGGCGTGTCTTTATATTTACTACCTCCATGACCAGGTCTTGTGCTTGCTCAGTCGTTCACTTCTTCTTATTTCTCTATCACATACACACATCTACTCCCACTACTACCATCTTTACTTTACTACATCAATCCATTCCACTAACTCTCTCTTTTTTTTACATCTCTCATCTCTCATCTTTTATCTCTTCTCATTTCTTCTTTCTTTATCTCTTATTCCTTTTCCACCTTTCTCTTCTACATTTTCATCACTCTCTTTCTCTCTTATTTCTCTCTCTTACTCACTTTTTTCTCTCTCTTTCTCTCTTTATCATCTCTCTCTCTATATCTCTCATTCTTTGCTCTCTCATCATGTTCATCTCATCACTCTTTTCTCTCCTACACACCACACTATCACCTATTCTCTCCTATCACATCTCACTACATCATCTTTCTCTCTACTTTCACAACACACTATCCCTCATACTCTCTTCACCATCTACTCACACACACATTCACAACACACCACTATTAGCACCTCTCTCTCTTCCTCATCACAACACAGAGTGAAGAGGCTGAATGATTCTGCTCGTGGACAATCTCTCTTTGTTTCTCTCAGTCTACTGTTCGGTCTCTTGTTTTTTTGTTGGTGTGTACAGTCCTCTCTCTCTTTTCTCTCTTCTATTCTCTCTATTGTCTCTCTGCTTAGAATTTCTGCATCTTTTCTGCTCTTCTTGTCTCCTTTGGACTCTCTCTTTTTCTGCAGGTACTCTCTTTCTTCTTTTTCTCTCTCTCTTTCTTTCTCTCTTTTTCTCTCTCTCTTCTTTTTTCTCTCTCTCTTCTCTCTCTCTTCTCTCTCTTTTCTCTCTCTCTTTCTCTCTCTTTCTCTCTCTCTTCTCTCTTTTACTCTCTCTTTCTCTTTCTTTCTCTTTCTCTTTCTCTTTCTCTTTCCTCTCTTTCTCTTTCTCTGTGTGTCGTGTGTGTGTGTGTGTGTGTGTGGTGTGTGTGTGTGTGTGTGTGTGTGTTGTGTGTGTGTGTGTGTGTGTGTGTGTGTGTGGTGTGTGTGTGTGTGTGTGTGTGTGGTGTGTGTGTGTGTGTGTGTTGTGTGTGTGGTGTGGTGTGTGTGTGTGTGTGTGTGTGTGTGTGTGTGTGTGTGTGTGTGTGTGTGTGTGCTGACATCAGACTTCATGGTGTTAAAGCCAGCTTATCAACCTGGCAAGAAACCTTTGCTTAATTATGGCCTTGCTTTTTTCTATTCATTTTACTCTATAACAACTTGTTGCAATTGTCAAGTGAAAATCTAAAGCTTTCCTGCCTGGTTTAAATTCTGGTGTTTTCAAGTATTAGCAACTTTAATCTCTTCAGTGTGTCTGTACTGAAGTTCTTAAATACTGTTCTGATATCTATATTAATGCAATTACTTGTTATATGTCTTTTTAAATGTGTTCCACCAAAGATAAGGAAAGTTACTTTCACTTTCCATATTTAAATTTTCATTCATAATTTTACTATTTTACTTAAGTGCAGTATCACCTTACCCATTTTATAGAGGGCCACTTATATTTCTTAATGTTAAGTTTATTTACTTTGATATTGTTACAGCTGTTTAAAGAGGATTTCTCTAAAAATTGAGACTCTGAAGTACTACAATGTTTTAAACTCCAAGACTCGTGTTTTTTTTTAATATGCAAAAGAGCTATTATGAAAACAATCAACAGGTAATACAGGTAGAGATGGCTGTTGGAGAAGTAGCAGGAGAAGAATCTGGGGAATTAGATAAGGGGACTGGGGAAGGTGGCAAAGTATCAGGAAAAATGTCAGAAGGGGAGGGATCCTGAGAAGGACACTGTTGCAACAGAAGGGATTCGTGTGAGCATCCAAGTGGGGGAGGCTAGGATAATGGCGAACGAAGAGGGAATGGTGCACATGGAGAAGGAGAGGGTGGGGGGTATCGGGAAACAGTGGGAGGAAGAGGGCTAGGGGGTATTTGAGGGGGAGGAGGATGGATATTGGCAAATACTTTGAAAGGGACTAGGAATAGAGGGATTGTAGGGTGGACGAGGGAGCGGATTATTCTCTTTGGTCATGTCTAGGAATTTTTGGATGTCTTCAGGAGTTTCTGGAGGGGAGTTGGGTGGGAAGATTTGAGAAATGAATGTGAGGAGGAGGTGGGGTAGACATTGGAGAAGTGGTAGATATTGGAATATTTGGATTTAGACTGGGAAAGGAATTTGATGGGGGGAGAGGGAGAGATATAGGATGGTTCAGGCTAAAGGAAAGAGATACTGGGTGAGATGCTGATATATCTTGAGAAGATTGGAGGGGAACAGAGTAAAGGAGAGTTTTGAAATAAGTTGAGAGAGAAAAACTTGTTGCTGTGCTTCCTGTCTGGCCTCCCATAGAGTGAGGCCTTGTTTGAATCTAAGAACTGCTACCACACTTCAAGCTTACTGGCAGGGAAGCTCCTATGAAATACATTATGGGAGCCACTACAGTTGGCACACATGACTGAGCAGGGCAACTTGAATGGTCATGACAAGGTTCGGCACACAGAGGGTAGCAGGCTGTGAAGTGACAGTGTTTGGCCGAGTGGCCAAAACGCCTACATTTCTGACATTGATGAGGAAGGGGTTGATATGGTTGGACAGGGCAGGACACTCCAATATAAACTTCATGAGGAAAAAGATGTCTATGGAAGCTAATCTTGGCAATATTGGTGTAAGACTTATGCTGTCCTCTTGAAGGAATAGTGTAGTACTGCACTGCCACTGTATCATAGTCAACAAGGTAGGTAAATAATTTTCATAGTCTGACCAGTTCTTGTTGTAGATGGGATAATCAGTCTGGGAGATGGAAATGGTTCCGGCACAAGTACTAAGAGAGGAGTGAGGTCCAGCAGGAATAGATTTGCCAGTGAGGTCAGTCAGGGTAGATAGTGTTTGGGACATGCAACTGTGACAAGGCTTGAATGATCAGAAAGACTGTGAAAGGAAACTTTGCCTACTTGTTTTTGTTGACGTTGTTGGAAAAGAAGGGTATTGTCAGAGTAAGGGGCTGTAAGGGGAATCACAAAGAATCTGTCCCACTTGGTTGGGCCTAAGAGGGTATTTGAAAGGTTTGCAGAGGTGGAAACAGTAGAAGAATGAGGGCAGGAGGAAGATAGGTGGTGTTGAGTAAAGTAGTTCTGTAGGAGGGGGGGGGGACAATAAGGATGAAGAATAGTAATAAGGGGGGGAGGGGTTGACAATGAAGAAGGCTGTACAGTAGGAGATGGAGTGGAGAATGTTGAGTGAGAGGATGGGGTGCTTTCTAGAGGTTGAGTAATAACCTGGGTGGGTAATATGAAATGGATTGAGTTGTCAGTAAACATCAAGGAGGGAGTATTAGCACCAGTGGTTGGAGTTGTGGTCAAAGGAGAGGCAGGAGTCAGAAAACCAATGAAATCAAATTTAGATAGGTTATTTGATGAAGGGGTAAGCCTTAATATCCTTAATAAGGATAATACATCATTATTGGCCATGGTGAACTTGAAACAAGTGGGGAAAAGAAACGGTCTTCCCTATGGATCTCCATGAGGGGTGAGGGCTAGGCGATTAACCAAGGGAAAACCATGCCCATTCATGAATGACACAAAGCCAGCTCTGGCACCTTAGGAAGAAGGGAATGAAGAAGAGAAGGAAAAGGAAAGGGGGAGAAGAAAAGACCATGTAAAATTAGTTAAGGCGAGGGCTGGGGCTCAAGGTAGGGGTAATTTCCAACATTTAGCCCCAATCTCCATCTCCTAAGCCTCCCCACAGCAGCAACGAGTAATGGATTGGGGGGAACCCTTTCTTTAAAACAGTGGGTATTAGCAGGGGAGGGGCACAGGGGATATGTGCCCCCATTAAGGTTTATAATTTAGCTAAGACCAATTCATCAATAAGTTATATAGAGTTATTGGAAAAAGGTAAATAATTCAGTCTTCTGAGGCACAGAGGCAGAGCTTCATAGACCCTTTTTTTTTTGGAAAAGATCAAGGTATTATTTGCGGGTTAAGTAATTTCTTCCACGGATACCAAAATTCTGGTAATGCCCGTTCTGAATTATTCTGGTTATTTCGAACTATGACTACTTACATCTTATTAACTATCTTTTATCAATAATTCTAAATCTTTCAATTTCTTTGATTACTTTCATTTTGGGGATATTGACAAATTTGTATATGCAGAATATCTTTGCCAAATTCAGAACATAGATGGGATAAATATAGTGTATACACATCTCCGTCACAAGATTTTTCAATAAAAATCTTTTAATGCAGTAGCTATAATCATAACTACAATGGCTGTTAACCAAAAGACTAGAAACGAAAAAAAGGTCTAGCTCACAGGAAAATGAAAGACGCATAAAATTCAAATAGTTTATATACTCATTAGGTGGTAAAAATGAGTACACGGGACCCGTCGTGTTCTGGCCACACCCTATAAATGCACACTCATCATATACCTTATACTTTCCCATATATAATCTTATTTTTTTCTTTAAATAGGCTAGAATACAGCCTGTGTCTCTGTGTATATATATACATCCATATATATATATTATATATTATGTGTGTATATATATATAGATATATAAATATTTATATATATATATACACACACTAAAATAAAGTAAAATCCCTGTAACCATTCACCTTATAAAAATATGTGGAATACCTACATATTCAGCAACGTCAATAAATCTCATATGCTCAAACAATAATTTGCAGGGGATATAATATGAAACAACAAAGAAGAAGTAGAAGAAAAAGGAGAAAAAGAAGAAGAACAAGAGAAAGAAAGAAGAAAAAAGGCAATATTGACTTCTGAGGTATGTAATACATCCATGGCGATGCAGTGACAAATGCGATATGTGAGACTCGAAATAAAACTTCTGTTATAGGTATATAAAAGTTCAGTAACAAGCTGTCACGAGACTCAAATAAAATTCTGGAATATGGTCTATCATATGTGAGACTCAAAACCAGAATTCACTCGGACATATAAAATTTCTGCAGTATAGACTATAGTACGTGATATGTGAGACCCAAAACTAAAATTTCGTAATAGGGCTATTGTAGGAAATCCAACCAAGTGTCGTCACCAATCATTCTGGTAACCAAAAACGTGCCTTCACAACCAAAACGGCTAACCTACTGAGACATCCAAGTAGGTAAACGGAAAGAAATCTGGGTACCTGTCCTCGAGCAAGTCCATTTTTTCAAACTTTGTTAGGCAAACAAAGTGCTGATTTTTTATTTTTTCAGGAATACAGCATTATTCATTTCAGATCATATCCAGCAAAAAAAAAAATAATAATAAAATAAAATAAACACAAACTTCCTTTACCAAAAAAAACTAGTATTAGTAATATAAATCTTCAAAGTTAATAGCATTAAGATTATATCTAACAGAATATTTGTGCAACTGTTCAGCTTATACATAGAGGCTGAAATTTGTATATTAAATATCAAGTAACAAACTTAATAAAAGCTAAATATCAAAAATATAGTAATCTTCATCACAAAGACACCCCCAAGAAAAAAAAAAAAAAATAATAATAACTTTCATTTATCACCTCTTTGTTTGTTGTCTTGTTTTTCTTTTGCAAAGATAAAACTGAGCAAGACTTAAGGTCTGTCTTATCATCAAAGGTCATCATGTAATGCTGCATCCTGGGCGTACCCCTATAGGACCAGGTGCAAGTAATCTGCCACGAAAGCGGAGATAATCGTGTTGAAATTCTTAATGGTCGGGTAGTGAAGAGCCGATTCGTTGTCCGTATTTTTATGCCACACGGACGGGAAGGGGACTGGAATGACGTGAACAATAGGCACACCTGCAAGAACGGACAAAGAAATGTACATCACTGTCATAAAAATCATGCATGATATCTGATATCATGAGGAATATCTCTGGCCTTACATTTGAAGTTTTATTTAATGAAGAAGAAGAAGAAGAAGAAGAAGAATGACTGTGTCCGTCTTCAAAACCATGAATAAATAAAGGACTGTCTGTTGTAATAGCCATTTTGATGTACTATTGTGTAAAAAATAAGAACAATCCTTATTTACTTGTATGTATGTTATTGTTACTATATACTCTAATAAATATTCGTAATGTACACTACTCCAACCATCATAGGGTCCTTTCCAAAAAATTTAATCAGATGTTGCTTGAAATGATTAACATTTATATTAAGGCATTATCACCAAGGAAGGGACTAGGAAAGGACTATACTTTGTGGACTCATATATAGTATATATATAAATACCATTACATTAGAGTGAATATTAGGTTCTCATTCAAAATAGGGAATTGGGGCAGCCAGGGATGGTAAGGGGGGAACGTGACTATTCTCTCCCTGTGGAATTCACTGTTTAGAGAATCCTCCGCAGATCAAATACCTCATTAAATTCCAATGCGAACTCACCTCTCTCCAAGAAGGGAATGTGATCATCTTCAATGTGCGAGTTGTACAGCCTCTGCTGCTCGAACATGAACCGACGCCTGTTCAGGATTCCCAAGTCGTTCAGCCTCTGTTCATAGGACACAAGTCTAGTATACCAAGAATCCGTCTCAGGGAAGTAGCTAAAGAACCGGACATCTTCTGTCCCAATGAGGTCTAGGAGAACAAACAGGTCCTGTGAATAAAAAAATATCTAGTATCAAAAGAGAAGAAAAAAATTCAAATCACAGGCATACACATACTTACACATGAACAAATATGAAGGAAGGAAGGGGGATGGGAGAAAAGGAGGGAAGGAAAGAGAGAGAAGGAGAGAGTGAAGCAGGAGATGGAGATGGAGAAGGAGAAGGAGAGAGAAGGGAGGGGGAGAGGGGAGAGGAGAGGGAGAGAGGGAGAGAGGGAGGGAGAGGGGAGAGGGAGAGGGAGAGAGAAAGGTGGGGGGAGGAGGGAGGAGGACAGTAAGGTGAGGAGGAGGGAATTAACAATGGGAGAAAGGGGAGGAGGAGAAGGAGAAGGGGAGGAAGGGAGGAGGAGAGAGAAGAGAGAAGACAGGGGAGGGGGAGAGGAGAGGGAGAGGGAGAGGGAGAGGGAGAGGAGAGAGAAAGGTGGGGGAAGGGGAGCGAGGACAGTAAGGTGAGGAGGAGGGAATTAACAATGGGAGAAAGGAGGGAGGGAAAGAGGGAGGGAGAAGGAGAAGGGGAGAAGGGAGAGGGAGAGAGAGAGAGAGAGACAGGGGGAGGGGGGGAGGAGGGAGAGGAGGACAGTGAACGTGAGGAGAGGGAAAGAAGAAGGGAGAAAGGGAGGAGGGAGAAGGAGAGGAAGAGGAAGGATGAGAGAGTGAGAGAGTGGAGAGTGAGAGAGAACATATATATCAATAAATGTTTATACAGTACTTACAATCCTATGCAAATGATTTGTTCCATCACGGTTCCCTTCTGGATACAGGCTTTGCTGCCACTTAGCCGCTAAATTCCTAGCACCATAAAGGGAGTCTGTCTTGGACCACCTTCGGAAAGCTTCCTCTCCGTCAAAGAAGAGAAACTGCAAGGTCAAGTCTGATTGCTGAAAAAAAAAAAAAAACAGAAAAAAAAATGACTAGCGGTAACTACATGATGAAATTATATATATATGAAATAGAAAAGAAAAATGAAGAGAAGAAAGAAGAAAAAAAAAAAACATTACATGGCATTCATGAGACACAACGATGAGCATTTATGTTACATCCGAATCAGAATAATCTACCTATAGCCTTCATAATGTTTTCCGAGGTGCAGTTACCTGAGGTTCCTATACCCCTGTGCTACATCCTATTAAACAAATGAAGCACATACACTGCTTAACTAACTACGCAGGCATGTAATGAAGACATGAGCAGTGGGTAAGTACGCCAGATGTCATTCTAGCAGCCAAGATGGTTTAAATATGAGAATGATTTAAACATCACTAGAACACAGCGGTAAAGGATTTCTTTAAATACAACTTTACCTCTACATTCTTTAGAAGAAAAAAATTCTTTCTCAAATTACGCATCTTCTCCTTTCAACATTTTCCTATATTCCTCAGAAGCAGCCTTCCTCTACTTCCCACAAGTTCTTTTTTATTTCTTCTTGAAGCTACCGAAAGCTCTTTGTGCCAATCGAAAATTATAGAGACATCAGAGTCCATCATTACCAGCCTTCCTTATTTTCTTGGAGGTTTCCTTGCATGAAAAACTTGCACAGAAGTAAACCCTTTGCAGTCCCTCCTCTACTACTACTTTTTCTCTCTCTCTCTCTCCTCTCTCTCACTCTCTCTCACTCTCACTCACTCTCTCACTCACTCTCACTCCTCTCCTCTCTCCCCATTCAATTCACTAACTCACTCACATTCTCACTCTCTCTAAAAAAAGAGATATAAATTAACATATATGTGTGCATGTCTATCTGTCTGTAGGTATGCATGTATATACATATACATACATACATGAACACATAACACACACACACACACACACACACACCACACACACCACACACACACACACCACACACACAACACACACACACACACACACACACACACACACACACACACACACACACACGTTCAAAATGTATGCCATCTTCTACAGTTGCCTGGAGAACTACTTTTATGCCTTTCACTGTAAAACATCTGAAAGACCGTTTACACTCAAAAGGCAAAACCAATATACAGTCAAAAGCAATAAGAGATATATAATTCAGTGTCAGCCATGCAGAATGAAAGCCAAGAGGCATGGACCAACTTTCGCACCATTCATCGTAAAATGCTTGACAAAAGACAAACTCACTGCCAGAAATAAGGCCACATACAGCGGCTGTCCCTGAAATTGGGATTCCTGCACTATTCTCAGACACAAATATCATCGCGATCTGGAGCTCAGTGAATGCATTACATATGTCTAGTGTATGTCTAGGCATGAAAACTCCATTAAGAAGGCTAAACTAGGTGTGAACTACATCTCTCCTAGAAATAGGAGTGCATCTACAAACTAAAAGAAAGAAAGAAAGAATAATACTGACAATGGAAAAGACATTTTTCAGGAGCTCTTAGTTCTCATTCTTAATAGAGCTGAGGTGACGGATCCAGCCATCACAATTCTTCAGATCAGATTGCTGTCATGCCTTGAAGCCTGTTGCAGCTTTCTACTACCCTTTAGCTGCTATTGTCATTCAAGTCTTATGGATTCACGCAGTTGGAGGTGGTGTCTCTGATATTTGTAGAGATCAAGCAATTTCTACTATACATATCCTCTTCATGCATTGCACACCATGGACCCGCCATTGATATAAGTACACATCAGAATGTGTGAAAATATGTCAAAATGGAGCTCAATAAGCTGGGATTACCAATCATTTCCTATTTTCATATAATAGCCTAAATGAGAACTATACTTCTTACAGTCTCAGAAAAGAAAAAAATTGATAACTCATCTGAGACTAGAATACAATTCACAAATTCTCTCTTGGGAGGGAGGGTGAGGGAGAGTTCTATAAATACATATATTGTACATGACTTAAAAATCACAGACATATGTTAACACTAGTATTAAGTGTCAGTTGATTAGAATACTAAAAGAAAAGGCAAATTGCAGGCCTACAAAGTACAGGGGCTAGTTGACAGATTGTATCTTCTCAAGATTAAATGACTGGGTGACTTACGTTTTATTCTGTTGGTTCAGGTGAGCTGTTTTATGTATGAAATAATTTCACTGAACAACATGATCACTGTAACATTCATGGTAGAAAATAGAACATTTTCTTCTTAATATCATGCATTCTAATTTCATGTGGAGGAACTCTCAGTGAAAAGCAAAGCATAATCAACATTCAGTGTTAAATGTTCAGAGTGTGAGCCATGTCACACAAGTGATCGTACCCTGGGTTGGGTTGGGTTGGGTTATCTGGTTGTGTTGTGTTGTGTTGTGTTGAGTTGAGTTGAGTTGAATTGAGATGAGTTGGACTGGGTTGAGTTGAGCCGAGTTGCGGTTGAGTTGAGTTGGGTTGAGTTAGAATAGGTTAAGCTCGTTTAGAATTAGGAGCCAGAGAACATAGGTGCTTGGGAACACATGTACGCACCCACCAAGGGCCGAACTGTACACCACTCATTAAAAAACAACGTCAGAGGGAAGACATACTCACTACCAATGGGACAAAAGAAAGCTTGAAATTTTTCATTGGCATTGCACAACATCTAATTTGCCATAAACACTTTCTTGGCACCTGTGGTTCCGTGGTCATATTGGAGGCTTCAGTGTTTTCAATGCCTTTTGTAAAGCTTTTGAGTTTTCTGAGTTTTTTCTTGAGCACCGATTTACGACATTTTTTTCCTGGCTTTCCCCTCTTCTTCTTGCACTACAAACAGAGCAAAAGTGTCTTAACATTTCTTCAGCGTATATTGCAAATAGGTCTCAGTGTATATTTCAAATGGGTTTCAGCGTACTAGTGTCAATGATAGTACCCTGTGTATCTCCTTTACTAATCAGTCTATCAATTTTGTTATGAAAATATGTTAAATCAGAATCTCTCCTGTTTTTACTTCTTCCTTAACCCCTAAATGACACTACACACCAAAGTGTCACAATTACATATGATCTTTAACACAGGCATTTTACAATAGTTTCTCCCTATCAATCTATCACAATTTCTTGAGTTTTTTTTCTTTGCTCTCTGTAGCCTCATGTTATATAGCACGGCTGTACATAGGTCTGTGTGGTAAAAAGGACAAAAGACTAAGTCCTTTTAATTGCTTATACTTCCATTTCTGAATTATAAAGTTCTTTGGCATATTCCTTTCTTCTGGCCTTTGTATCTGTGGAGCTACCTCATCTGTTAGAGGTTTAAAGAAAGACAAGCAGACAAACACAAAGAAAATACTAGTCATCCCCAAGACTAAGGTAAAATGTTAATTACAAACAATGGATTGACGGTGCATCATAATTCCAAAGGCGGTGCTGTATATCATACTTGTGTCTATTGCATTTTCAAGAAAAGTTTTCACAGGATACCGTATGCATTGTTTCTGTATTGCATTTAAGAGGCTAAAGGATTACAATTAAAGTTCCAAGTACAGTGTAGCATTAATCAACCTAAAATTAACTATAGAAAAGGTTTGAATGAGAATGAATATCTTCACAATAAAGAGATATTCATTTTCATTTGCACCTTCTCTACATTTATTGCAATGAATACTAAAATAAACTGCATAATGTAGCAAAGGATGCTATTTCACTTTCATAATCATGAAACAATGTCTTCAAATCCTCAATAAAATTTATAGAAATCTGCTTCCTTCATACCTATATAAAATCTACTCATATGGTTTCCAAACTGAATCTATAAATCATATCATTTGTTAAATAATTGCAACATCCGTATATGCCAGAACAGGACATAAAACATATTTTTACAAGTAACATTTCCTGTGACTTTTTCTAACATGATCCACAGCATTACCACGATTGTTCAGAGCGTTTCCATGACTAAAAGCATTTCCTTCAGTATCACATTTCTACCGCTCAGAAACAAAAGGAAAATCTGAAAGTGTTGGTAATGCTTTGACACAGCTACTACAGGTGAAAGAAAGCATTTTTGTTCCCAGAGCAGGAAAAATCACAAGAGAAAAGGGGGACCTGCGCCCGGCAAGAGCATGCTTGGTTCTCCACTCTGATGCAGCACAGGGGAAAAAAATATAAAAAATAAAAATAATGGAAAATGATTAAGAAATGGAATAAAAGAAGACAAAAGTATCTTATGAAGCAAATAAAGAAAAGGCAAGAAAGACGGAAAGAACACCTGCCTACCGTCTGCCGAAAGTCATCCAGACTCTTGCCCAAGACCTTTGCAAGGTGCAGCATCATGGCACAAGGCACTGCTGAGTCGGTGGCGCCCACAAAGACACCCTCGCGGTCCAGCTTTGAGTCGTAGTGACATGCCAGGACTAGGCGACGGGGGGCTTCGGGGTCCAGGGTCGCCACCACATTCGTGAAGTTTTTTCTTCCAATGGGGGTGTTGTTGGCAAACTGGTCCTCCTCGATCGCCCAGCCCAGGTTCTGCATCGTGTTTATCAGGTGCTGGAAGAGAATTGCAACTTTAATTTTTATTCCCTTCTGTGTGTGTGTGTGTGTGTGTGTGTGTGTGTGTGTGTGTGTGTGTGTGTGTGTGTGTGTGTGTGTGGTGTGTGTGTGTGTGTGTGTGTGTGTGTGTGTGCATGTGTGTGTGTGTGTGTGTGGCATAAAGAAAGTACCACCTCAATGTAAGAATTCCTTTTTAGAATGAGTACGTCTAGTCTGTGGCTATACATGAAATAAAATGCACTAGGTCCACAGAGTTCGTGGAGGGCCCCTTTATGTTCAAATTTAAAACTGGGTCTTTTTGAAAGAAATTCCGACTAAACAAAAATAGGTAATATTCAGATCATGTGCGTGGAAAGACTGAAGCTTTGCACAAACAAGAAGTGAAAATTAGATAATTGTGGCGGAAGAACTGAAACTTTGCAACAAAGCAAAGAGTAAATGTTAGATTCATGTGCGGAAGAGCTGAACTTTGCACAGGTATTTATTCTATATTGCCATCCAACGTAAGACTTCTGAAAGTATTTTGGCTTTTGCTGTGAACGGTGATTTTGCCTCACTCAAGGATATGTGGAATGACGCTCTAAATGGGCACATATGGAAGTTGGAGAGGGAGAAGGAATTGGAGGGGAGGGAGGGAGGAGGAGGAGGAGGGAGGAAGAGGAAGAGGAAGAGGAAGAGGAAGAGGAAGAGGGAAGAGGAGGAGGAGGAGGAGGAGGAGGAGAAGGAATTGGGTAAGAGGAGGAGGAGGAGAAGGATTGGGAGAAGAAGGAGGAGAAAGGAGGAGGAGGAAGAAGAGGAGGAGGAGGAGTAGGAGGAAGGAGTGAAATTGGGAGATGGAGGAGAGGGAGGAGGAATTGAGAGAGGAGGAGGAAGAGGAGGGAGGAGGAGGAAATTGGAGAGGAGGAGGAGGAGGAGGAATTGAGAAGAGGAGGGAAGAGGAGGAGGAGGAGGAATTGGGAGAGGAAGGAGGAGAGGGAATTGGGAGAGGAGGAGGGGGAGGAGGGGAGGAAAAAGAAGGAGGGAGGAGGGAGAGGAGGAGAGTGAGGAGGAAGCAGTGGGGGGTCGAAAGGAAGGGAGGGGAGTGGGAGGGGCAGGGGAGAGGAGGGGTTGGGGGGGAGGAGGGGGGCCGTGGAGGAGGAGGAGGAGAAGGTAATTGGGAGAGGAAGAGGAGGGGAAGGAATTGTGGAGAGGATGAGGGCGGAGGAGGAGGGGGAGGAGGAAAGTTGGGGGGAAGAGGGAAGAGGTAGAACGGGAGAGGAAAGAAGGAGGATAGGAAGAGGTTGAAGGACTAGTATGGGGGGGGGGGGAGTGGGTTGGATTGCAGCCTGGGGGTGGTTTTGGGAGGGGAAGAGGAGAGGAGATTGGAGAGGAAGGAGGAGCGAGGAAGGAGGAGTTGGAAAGAGGAGAGGAGAGGAAGAAGGCCAATGCAGGCTCTCAAAGAGAGGCGATGGATCCCCTAAAACACAACAGTAGTCCTGTGTTTGTTCCATCATTCAAAATCGGGGGCTTGGGCAGACGAAATCCTGTCAATACGGTAACAACTAATCTAGGGATGCCATGCAGTAATACAAAAACTGACCTAACCCAGCAACAATGGCAATCAAAAGGTCATGGCGGGTGACCCCGTCTGGCCTACTGAATTATGAGGTGACAACCAGGGGACAAGATTTCTATGAGGTACCTAAGAATCTACCTAAACACGAGATCCTTTTTCGGCTATAGGAGGAAATAAACCGTACAGGCTGGAAGGAGAAACTTAATGGATACTAATAATCTGCATCTGTCTACTTTATGAGGTGTAACTCTTCCCCACTATCGTCTAATCCACAGTGTACCAGCCCTGATCCCTAAGATATTGTCACAGATGCAACGATGATGATGGAAGTTATAATACTTTCTGCGCGGGTTTATGTTGCCTTCCGTCCTACTGACCACTTTCTAAGATTTAGTTCCTCACTTTAATACTTTTGGGCTTTGATACAGCCTTTTAATTATAAACGCGAAGTTTATCCATATTATATTCTGTGTATGTTGTTCTTATCAGCACGTCCAGAAAGGGACGGCCAAGAGATATCGGTTTCCGGCAGCACGATGTTAATGAGTAAGTTAAAAAAAACCCGCTTGTTCTACTTTTAGTTAAGTTCCCCCCGCCCATTTACTATTTTAGATTATTCCGTTCCAACCTTTTCTTGGAAAATTCCTTGGATAACATTTTGGCTTAATACGTGGCGATAATATTTGTTTAATATTGAGTTTTGGTGACACACACAGTTGCATCGATATCTATAAGTTTAAAAAATATTTTCGCATTTTTACATAATGATTTTTTTCCCTGGAGCTTAACGGGTAATCTTTTTTACTTTGTTAATTTTTAAAAAATTCATATGAATGATCGGGGTCATATTACTTTTCTCGACTGAAATTTATTATTTTTTTTTTTTTGATAACTGATTTTTGTTTTTTCCCTCAATTCCAACTTTTACTGTATTGTAGGCATTAATTGTTTTACCACAAATGGCTAAGCGTAATTTCAAATCATCAAATTCACCAATTATTTCGGGGGTTTTGGATGATATGGAAACGTACTCACTACTTTTGGGCGTATGAATATAAAGCGAAATCATAAACGGGCAATAAAAACGTAATATAAAGCAAGTAGAGAGGGTTTATCTAAGAACTGTTGTGTCAGCCGCCTTTGGATATCCTCTGGCTGGGAGGTATTAGAACAAGTTCGCTGAAAGAAAAAAACTTTCCCCTTGTTTGGCCGAGTCCCTTTGCTAGACCTTGTCTTCTGTTCAAGTTTTGTTTTGTTTGTTTTCTTTCCTTCGTTTCTTTCTTTTTGTTTTAGCGGGGGGGTGTTGGGAAAAAAGAAGGGTGGAGGTAGGCTAGGTAAGTAGGAGAGGAAGAATAAATAGATAGATAGATAGAGAAAGAGAGAGATAGATAGAGGGAGAGAGAACCAGGCAGAAGGGAGAGAGAAGAGGGGGGAATAGGGAGGGACAAGCAGAAGAGAGAGAGAGAGAGAGAAGAGATAAGAGAGGGGAGAGAGAGAGAGAGAGAAGAGATGAGAGGAGAGAAGAGAGAGAGGAGAGAGAGAGAGAGAGAGACCAGTGGAGTGAGTCTTCTCTGTCTAACTGATAGCGCCTCAAAGTCCAAGAAATATACGACGTAACCAAGTATAGTTTGCCAAAAAACTAAGATCAGAGTGGCGAAACAGACCGTGCTGAAAAATACCATTGCTGAATCTAACAATTCAATCTGAGAGAGAGAGAGAGAGAGAGAGAGGGAGAGAGAGAGAGGGGAGAGAGAGAGAAGAGAGAGGGGGAGAGAGAGAGAGAGAGGAGGAGAGAGAGAGAGAGAGAGAGAGGGAGGGATCCCCTAAACACACAGTAGTCCGATGGTTGTTCACAATTCATCGCTGGCAGGGAACGAAATGCCTTCAAAAGTTACGGTAACACTAACTAGGATGCAATCAGTAATAACGACCACACTGACTAGCCCAAGCACAATGCAAACAAAAGGTCAAATGGGCGGGGTGACCCGTCTGGGCACTGAATATAGAGGTGACCCAGGGAAGCATCTAGGGAGGACCAAAAATCTACCTAAATCCGAGATCTTTCGGTATTAGACGGAAATAAAAACCTTGGTAACAGGCTGGAAAGGAGAAAACAGGTTATTGGGATACTAATAATCCATCTGTCTACATTACTGACCCGGTGGTACCTGTCCTCCCACTATCGTCCTATCCACAGCGTATGTCAATGCCAGCCCTGATCCTAGAATATGTCACAGATGTCACGATTGATGCGTATGGAGTTATAAATAACTTTCTGGCGTTATTTCGCCCATCACCGTCCTTAAGACCCACTTCTAAGGATTTAGGTTCCTCACTTTAAATTTAATAATACTGTTGGCTTTGAATAAGCGGTTTTATTATTAAGCGAAAGGGTTTTCAAATGTTGTTATCGGAGGGCTACCGCACCCTCAGAGGGGACCGCCCCAAGAGATATCGGGGTTTCCGGCAGGCCACCGATGGTTAATTAATACCACCCTGTTTCACTTTTAGTTAAGTCCCCCCGCCCATTTTACATTTTAGTTATTGCCCGTTCCACCTTTTCTGAAATTCCTTGGATTAACATTTGCTTAGTACTGCGATATATTTGTTAATATTGAGTTGTGAATTTTATTTCAGAAGCTGTTGTCTTTTAATATCATAGTTTAAAAAATATTTTAAAGTTGATAACCCAATTTTTAACACATAATCTATTTTTTGGCCGGCGGAGCGGAGATCAGGGTGAATCTTTGTTACTGTGGTAATTTTAAAATCATGATGAAGCTGATCGTGGTCAGTAATTTACTTTTCTGCGACTGATTTAAGTTATTTTTTTTTTTTTTTTGATAGAACCTGATTTTTTTTCACCCTTCAGATGCAACTTTTACTGTACTTTTAAGGCATTCAATTGTTTACTACAATGGCAGCGTACATTCAATATCATCAAGAATTCACAAATTGATTTCGTTGTTCTCTTGGGCATGCATATGACGTCACTCACACTTTGGGTATGAATATTAAGATCAATAAACGCCAATAAAAACGTTAAAAGCCTACCGAGAAGTTATCTAGAGACTCGTTGTGGTCACCCTTTGGGAGATCCTTCTGACTGGGGAGGTTATTGAACTGAAAGGTTTCGCTGGACAAAACTTTCCCTTTGTTGGCCGAAGTCTGTTTGCTAGACTTGATCTTTTCTGTTCAAGTTTGGGTTGTGTTTTGTTTTCGTTTCCTTTCGTCTTCTTTCTTTCTTGTTTTTGATTCTGGTGTGTTTGGGAAAAGATGGGAGGTAGAGTACGTAGGGAAGGAATAAATAAGTAGATAGATAGAGAGAGAGAAGATAGAGGAGGAGAGGAGACAGGCAGGGGAGAGAGAGAGAGGGGGGATAGGAGGACACGCGGAGAGAGAGAGAGAGCGAGAGGAGAGAAGAGAGAGAGGAGAGAGGAGA